TGATTATATATTTTTTTTTTAATGATATACAAATTTTTTAAACTATTAGTAAAAGTCGCTGGCTAAAAAAAAAAAAAGAAAGAGAAAAAACGAAAGATGTTTTGTGATTTGTAGTAAACTAAACTTTACGAAATATGCACTTTATTTTGAAAAATAGTATAGAAATATAATAAGAATCTGAGAATAAATCTGTTACATATTAGATGAATTTCTTATGCTGTTCGAACTAAAGTTCTAGAATCATCTGATCAGAGATCATTACTAAATAAGGTGTGATCATCTATATCCAAATTTGGTATATTCCCAGACTGTAATTGGCCAAAATTAAAGAGTTATTCCAAAGATTTGCGCCTCTGATACTTTTATAAGATTTTGTGAAACGATTGATTTTTAATCTTCTTATCTTGCTCACGTGAAGTTCGAAACATCTATTCAAAAAAAAAAAATTCTTTTATTAGTTATTATTCTTTGAAAGTTAAAAAATACATTATGCACTACATGCTTGTAATATCAGAATTGCTTCTAATGAAAGTTGGTGGAACACTTGATCCCACTTGATCCCAAACTTTTATATGAAAGTTAAACATTCAAAAAACCTTCTGACAAAATTTCAGGGGGCTTTAATTATAAAAATTTCGATTAAGCTACTTTAATTAAAATTTTCTATTGTAAAATAATATAAAAAGCTCATGTAACAATGTTTTGTCATATAATATAAGTATCCAATCAAACCAAATTTCCATCATGCTTTTGTATATCACTTTCTATTTAAAATGTAACTGCTAAGTTAGGGTTTGGGGTTAGTGTTAGTGGACAACCTTGTTAGTGCTTTGATTTTCACATTACACCTGGCCTTGCATTCTGATTGGCCAGCAGCAAATCGATATTTTTCTGGATCCCGCAACACAAATAAGTTATATAAATAAAAATTTTTAGTTCGAGTAGAATCTCTTATTGTTATACCGATACTAAATTTTCGTTGTATAATGGCAACTTCACAGCAAATATCGACCTCTCCTTCTAAATTATTGGCTTCAACATCTAGATCAACGAAACCTATTACGCTTACTTTACCTCGTAAGAGTCGAACCAAAGGTACAGGTAGAAAAAAGCTGATTCTTTGGATATTGATTGGTTTTTAATATTACCTTTTTTTTATTCTATTGCCCTTCTTTTTATATTTAAAATCTATAGATCATTTTATTAACAAGATCATTCCGCTTTTGAGGCTAAACATTATTGCAATGTTCTACTTACCGAAAAACATCTGAGTGAATGAATACAAAGAGATAATGATTTAAGTACAAGTAACTTATAACATTAGAGAATTAAATACTAAGCATTATTTCTTAATACAAATTCAAACTCTCAAATATTTGTTTTTTAGAAATCAGGCAACTTGAGATGTCCAAAAAATTTTGCTATTTCATATAACTTGAGCTTCTGACCTTGATCGGCTAGCTTGGATTCAGACTTCGAATTGGATCTTTGAAATGCTAATACAAGCATAATGCAAGCTAGCTCATATTATACAAAATTTCGATCTAAGCAACTTTACTTAGCTTATCGGTTAGCAGGTTTATTAGTAAAATTCGCTAAAATTTGTTAATTTTCAGATATAATTAATTGGGTCCGGAGGTCGTGTTATATGAAATAGTAAAATTTTTGGATATCACTAACCTACTACTTTTTCGGCTATTCATATAGTTATATACATACGTACATAGTAACAATTTTTTAAAGATTTGAAACAAGACAATTATTATTATTAAATTCTTCTGACTACAAAATGGCTAAACAAAACTCTATGTATGCTTCGCATATGTTAAAAAAATTATGTATAACAAAAAATTTATAAAAGATAAAGTTCATTCAAATTAGAAAATGCTTTTCTTAAGCAACAATAATTGTATTGTAAAATTCAAATTAATGTTTTTATTTTAGTAATCAATTTTCAAAATACAAAAAAAATATGAATTAGTTAACATTGTCAAAAATCAAAAATAAAACCCAAGTCACTTTTTAAAATCAAAAAAAAATTATAAGCTAAAAAATTTATTGCCATTTTTGAAATGGTTGAAAAAATCAATAAAACAAAATTTTCTGAATATACCTGTATACCCTGTATACCCGTATATACTCATATATCAGATTATCTTAGCATATCAATACTTGATTTACATATATATGTGCTTTATTGTTATTGTTTACAAACAATTACAAAATTCTAAAAAAAAAATTATTTTTATACCTTAGACTATTTTTATACTTTTATACTCTAGACTAATCTATTTTTAAAAAATATCATTATACTGTACGTACGTAGATTTTTTCTCTTGACCGTTAAAGATCAGATCAAAGATTGTGAGAAGCATGCTGACATGGTCACATTACATGTTCAGACAGAGGCTAAAATCCAAAGCTGAAGAAACCAGTGTCAAAATCATCATCCAGGATGAGGCCTACACCTCAAAAACTTGCTCGTGATGTAGTAATATGCAAAACATTGGTGGTAGAAAAATTTACAAGTGTAAAAGTTGTAACTTAAAAATAGATCGGGATATAAATAGAGCTTGAGGGATCTTTCTTTGAGCATTGCTTGATGGAGCCATATGTATGCATATGTAGAAATTAATAACTTTACTTAGCAATGACTAGTATAGATTATTAATGATATATTACAATCTATCCGTTTCTAGATTTGTTTATACATATTACAGTTTTACAATAAAATTTTTAAATGGATCACATTATATTTTTACTGTCAGTATATAAAATTTCTTCCAGTATTTATTTAAAAAAAGAGAGAAATGGATTAAAACACTTTAATTATTTAAAGTTATTTACCCTGGTAAAATTCTTAAGAATACTAAAAATGGCAAAATCATTATCACAGTTCCATAATAACTGTAGATAGAAAGGTAGAAAATTATTAAAAATATAATATCGGGTGTTGGCGATTATTAGATACTTCTAAAGATTTTTTCTTAACCAACAAAAAATATTTTTAATCACTTTATACATATAGTGTCTTTCACTTCACTCTGTACAAGATTCTTTAATAAAATTGACTACTGAGCAATATATTTATGTACATCTATACAAATAAAGTTTTTTCAATTTATTTAAAAAAGCGAATTTTAATGATATTGTAGAAAAAACTAGCAAAATTGAATATAAAAACTTTAAAAAAAATTAAGGTATTCGAAAATTGCAAAATAAAATATATAATTAAAAAAATAAAAAGATAAATACAAACTTAAAAATAAATCAATCACTAGTTGTAATAAAATTTTAGAAAATTCAAAAAAATTAATATATACTAACAAAAGTAAGGTAAGTAAAAAAATTATAACTATTTTTTCTACTTTTCCTTGAGTCTCAGATTTCTCGAATTTTTTATTTATTTCTTCAATTTTTCTTATTATCGTACACATGTTATTCTTAACAGAGTCCTGCTTCGTTAAAAAGTATCCTTTGATAACACTATCTAATTCTCGAATATTTGTGAATAAAATATTGCTTGGCAAACTTGCACATTTTTTAGCAATAATCCTTGAGTAAGCAACAGAACTGATATTACATGAATAGCCACAGTATTGTCTAGCAGTAACTCATCAACAATTTCAAAAAATTGTTCAATATCACAAATTTTAAGTTTTTCTTTAACTTTGTTGTTGTTGTCATTGTTGCCATTGTTGCAGTATACTAAAACATAATTCTTTTTGTGAAATCCAAACAAAATATTTTCTGATCTATAAAGAAAAAAAAATTTTTATAAGTAATTATCATTAATTGTATCCTATTCACCACAATCTCTGTGTGAAGCAGAACAAGCTTTTTGAAACAAACATAACAGAGAAGAACATTCACAGACATTGCATGTCTGTGGCCACAATATGCTTCTAGTTCTCTGATATCATTCCTAGTAGTAGCATAACTTTAGATACAAATAATGACAAAAAATTAACTTAGTGATTTCTCACCTAAATTCAAGATTAATTTTACGACATTTCAGTCTAGTACAAACTTCATTAGTGAATTTATTTAAATCAATTAAATAATTTTTAGACAACATTATATCTAACACTAAAAACTCTATAAAAAACAAATCTCCCATATTTATCTGACCTCTAATTTTCTTACAATTTCAGGGTAGAAAAATTGGATTTCGCAAATTAAATAGTATTAATATATAAAAAGGTCTAGAAACATAAACTTTGATAAATAAGATTGAAGCAAGAAATGAGTTCTTATTAAATACATAACAATAGATCCAGTTCAAACTTTTGGTCTTTATATATAAAAGAAAAAAAAAACTTACTACTGTCATTATTCGTTATCATTATAAGTTGATTTAGCATTATCATTATAAGTTGATTTAGATACTGATAAAAAATTCAGATACGTATCACTATGCAAATCTTAACTATTTGGCACTGGGTCATAACTAATCATAAATTTTACTTACAGGTTTTCTCAAATACCCCAAAACAAAAAATAATATTTTTTAAAAAATCACCGTAACTCAAAATTTTGTCTATATAACATCTTCTGCACATTAGTAAAAATAATTTCTTGCAGAATTTTAGTATAAACAAGGCTCGCTATAATTATAAATCTGACCCAAATATAATGTTTAATGGCTTTAAAAAAATTGTCGATCAGTGAAAATCTGTCAGTACTACTGGGGTAGTATTAATGTTAATATCTGTAAAATATATTATTAGAAATTACAGTAAACTGAAATAACCAAATCAGTAATTATTTTAAAAGTTCCTGCACTAGAATTATTGCGTATGACTCCCAGATTTCAAAATACAGGTTATTCTCGTTAATATCAACCTAATTGAATTAGTTTTAAATTATGTTGATAGTGATATTAACATTAATAAGAAATCATATTAAAGTTGATATGTATGAGAAAATTTTGATAGTTTATTTATATTAATGTAATTATAGTTTATATCTCTAAAATTTTGTAGTTATTTGCATAATAAATTAATTCTGATTATCTAAAATAAGAACTATTGTAAAAAGTTTGTCATTTGATTATAAATAAAGTAAATACAGGTATTGGTATTGAATATAAATTATATTTAAAACTAATCTAATCTACCATCTATCCTTAAAATCATATAATTTTATATGAATTAAGTTTATATTAAATTCTTCTAACCAACAACTTACATTAATGAAATTTACAATTGGGTTATAGAAACTTATCTTTACTATAAGCTATAAAAAAAATCATTCAATGTAAGTCAAACCAGAAATCCAACCAAAATTTATATTACAAAAGACAAATATAAGTACTGCTATTGATCAAACAAATAGTTTTATTAAGAGATTTTGTCAGAATAAATGAAGACAATATGATTATTGTTTACAAAGCTACCAAATTCTACAATATTAAAAATCATTACAAACACTAATAATAGACTACAACAAATGAAATTAATGAACAAATAAAGTATGTGTTTAACAATATCACGAGATCCCAATTGAGCAAATCTAAAAATAAAAAACTCAGCTTCAAATTGAACTGAAAAATATAAAATATTAACCCTTGAAAAATATAATCAGAAATAGATAATAAAATTTAATATAGTATTTGCCTTATAAACAAATCTATCCAACATAGTTCATTATTAGAAAACACTAAAGTAGTTAACGTATTGTTTTTGAAGAGAGCAGCTGCTATTGCTTTTCTTCCGTAAGAACCAAGCCTATTAGATAAAAAATTCAAATTGATTAAACTATTGTTATTGAAAAGAGCACCTATTGCTTTTCTTTTATCAGAACCAAGCCAACTAGATGAAAAGCTTAAAGTGTTAAGTTTCTTACATTTTTGAAGAAACATTGAAATTAATGAACATTTAACAGCTTTTATGTGATAATTTTCTTTACACTTTAACACTCTATTGCTCAAATAGATATTGATTAATCTAGTACTCAAATGCTGTCTATCTATAGTTATAAAATTAAACACACTACCTCTATACGATTTCTCACTACAACTCAACTTCTGACTATCGATAGATATAATAAAATTTATATATTTAAATAATGGCTTATTTACTAGAAAGTTAATATTAAACAGAACTAACAATGCTTGTTCATCAGCATTTAGTTCAGAAAGACAGATTTTAATGACTTTTCGATGTTTGAAACAAGAAGCTTTCCACAATATCAGTATAATAATTCTGCACTATTTGCAGTTTACAAAAAGGCATGAAAATAAGGTTTTGTAATTACTATTTAGACATTCAAATATTTCTAAGAGGATTTCATTTGATAAATATGTGATAGAACTGACAAGATAATTTATTCTTTATATAAAAATAATTCGTTTTAAAAATTAAGAATCTTTTCTATTGGAATTCTCTTCGACAATATAACTCTAAAGTCTGGTTTTTCCTTTATTTAAAAGGTTTACACATGATCTTAAAAGAATAGAATATAATTTATACTGTATAATTTATTTAATATAATAATACATAAAATTTTAATAAAGTATTGATATTGATACAGCAAACTTGTTTTTATATTGAACAGAAAATTATATTATTATTTTATTTTTACAGATAGGTAAATGGAGTTTAGTGTATATCGATATATTTAAATTTTTTAGATTAATAAAAAAGCAAGTTAATACCCAGTTATAGTTTATCAACTAGGTATATTTTTAATATATTAAATAAATTCTGTATCTAGTATATACTAAAAAATTTGGTGATAGTAAAATAAAATACGTCATTTTATCTAATAACTTCAAAATTTTAAGTAAATATAAAACAAGTCATATTATCTAGTACTTCAAAAAAATAATGAAATCACAAAATTCTAGTCGAAATTCTGGGACAAATGATCTAAACAAGCCTGTTCAATGCTATTTGAGCATGGTTTATCTAATTTTTGGAGTCCTTTCTTTTTTGGCTACTTCTGAAGCTTATACTGGCTTATATTTTATTAAAGTATGTTTATATTAAAATTATTTTTTTAAATCATATAGATATAAAATTAATATTATTATTTAATTGCTTTAGGGAGGTTATATTCTACCTTTAGTAAGTCTCTGGTTAATACGTATTATCACCATCGAAATACATTATAATAGAACATTATATTACTATCTGCTATTAGTATGTTTAATTTTTTAATATTATTATTTCTAAAATTTCTGCCTCTGATATATTTAAATTTATATTTTTTAGGTATTGGCCTTCATTCTAGGACTTTCAGTTAGACCTTTGATCGAAATGATTTTTTTCTTAGCTGATATGTAAAATCTTTTTTTTTGTTTTATTTGGTTGATTTAATATTATATTAATCAATTACTATTAATAATTTTATAGCCGCAGAGATAT